TACACCTCCACTTGCAGCTGCGGGTGTGACCTTGGGTCAGTCACAAGTTCTTTCAGAGCTGTTCTCTCAAGGGTAGTTCTCGGGAGAGCTCTCTCAGCCCCACCTGCCTCAGAGGGTGTCTGTTGTGGGGAGGGGAAGGGAAAGGAGATTGTAAGGCGCTCTGAGACTCCTTCGGGTAGTGAAGGGCAGGGTATGACTCCAATCTCTTCTTCTTCTCTCTTCTTTGTTAGACTGTAACCTGGAGAGTCAGGTCTGATCCCCCACTCCCCCATGAAGCCAGCTGGGGGACCTTGGGCCAGTGACTGTTCTCTCCAAACTCTCTCAGCTAGGTTTGCCAAGTGACTCACCGTTAAAAGCGGGGGAGAGTTGGTCCCTGGCTGGGACATCGTGCCGTGATGATGTCATCCAAAAGTGACGTCATCACGTTGAGCACGTCGCCGGCTGACGCTCTAGCAATCAGCCTGGAAACTCTATGGTACCTCCGGGTGACATCATTGCGCCAGGCACGTCGGCTCGAACCGGGCACGTTGGGGGCGGGGTTCCCCCCGCCAGCCTTTTCCGGACTGGTGGATTGGGGACCCTTTGAGCGGGGGGACCTCCGCTCTCCTGGGGGACCTCGCAGCCCTACTCTCAGCCCTATGTGCCTCACAAGAGGCCTGTTGTGGGGAGAGGAAGGTGACTGGAAGCCGCTCTGAGACACCTGAGGCCTACTGGGTGACCCTAGGCCAGTCACAGTTCTCTCAGGACTCTCTCAGCCCCACCTGCCTCACATGGGGCCTGTTGTAGGGAGAGGAAGGGAAAGGGGACTGGAAGCCACTTTGAGACACATGAGGCCTGCTGGGTGACCTTGGGCCACTCACGGTTTCTCTCTCAGCCCCACCTGCCTCACAAGGTGCCCGTTGTGGGGAGAGGAAGGGGAAGGTGACTCGAAGCCTCTCTGAGACACATGAGGCCTGCTGGGTAACCTTGGGCCAGTCCCAGTTTCTCAGGACTCTCTCAGCCCCACCTGCCTCACAAGGTGCCCGTTGTGGGGAAGGGAAGGGAAGGCGATTGGAAGCCACTTGGAGGCTTCTTACGGTACAGAAAAGCAGGGCATAAAAACCAGCTCTTCTTTCTTCTAGAACAGCTGGGTTCGAATCCAGAAGCACCTTAAGGACCCCCAAGATATCTGACAAAGGACGCTTCTCTCTCGAAAGTTTATTCCCCCAAAACACTTCTTGGTCCCTGAGGTGCTACTGAACTCGAATCTAGTCACAGTCGAGGAGATGTCCGTCGCTTGGAATTCCGGCTTCTGCGTCAGTCCGCAGGGGGCGGAGGTGGCCCGAAAAGCAGAGAAGGGGAAGCGTACGGGCAGGCGTGCCCGGCAGTTTCTATGGGCAGATTTTTTTTGTCAGGCAAACAGACCTCCATTGACCAGGGATTCTTGTTTGTTTCTTTCTCTGGGTTTTTTTTTTTGTATTTTTGCATTATGTGTGTGTGTGTGTGTGCCTGGAAGTCATGGCGACCTCCGGCGACTCCTACTAGGACACGGAGGACGTTCAGAGAAGTGGCTGGATAGCCTGCCCCTGCCCTCCCGGCTCTGGTATTCCTCGGAGGTCTCCCATCCAAGTACTTGCCAGGGTCGGCCCTGCTTAGCCTCCGAGACCTGACGAGATCGGGCTTGCCCGGGGCTATCCAGGTCAGGGCGGATTCTCGTTTGTTTCGACAGCTCCTCGGAAGCCAGTCCCCTTCCTGTTGGGTTACCATCTTTCCAGAAAGCGGCATCTTGGCTCCAAACGAAGAGAAGGAACTTTGTGTGGAACTAATTGCTGACACTAAGGTCAGTGTGAAAAAATTTTTTTTGCTTCCTCTGTGGTTCCACTTGCGGCTGTCCAGTGGCAAAAATTACCTTCCGAGAGTAGCCTCCCCGTTTTTATTTCTTCCTTTCTTTGATTTGGGCGATCCGTAGTCCACCTTTCTCACTGAGATGCGAGATGGATTCCATAGAGGAAGTCAAGTGCGACCAACAAGGCGGGACATCCAATGAACAGCGCAGTAGGGTTGGGGCGACAGAAATCCGAAAAACCCGACAGAAATCTCACACGAAGCTGGAACAAAGCAGGAACTTTTAAACATGATATGTTAAGTCAGGGGTCTCCAACACGGTGCCTGTGAGCGCCACGGGACCCGCTGATACCTTTTCTGTCGCCCGCCAAGTGTTTTCAGGAAGTGGGCGGGTCCAGGTAGGGCTTTTGTCCAGCAAGGCTTCCGATTGGCCGTTGGAGATGTGACTGGCTGTGCAGATTTTTTTAAGTGTTGCTTTGTCAGCCGCCGCCACCCCAGCACAAGGATCTTCACCGCACGGCGGAAAGTAAGCTGCGGCAGCTGTTTTGTGGCTGGCTCCGCCTCCTGCAGCAGCCATTTTGTGGCAGCCGTTTTACGGCTGTGCCCACCACGCTGTGTCGGAATTCCAGAGGTACCCGCAGGCTCAAATAGTTTGGGGACCCCTGTTAAGTGATCTAGAGACGACCTTGCCTGAAGCATGCTTATGGTGTTCGTACGGATTCCCCGCCCCCTGAGAAAACTGACCTCCATTTCTCTTGTGGTGTTTCTGTGGACCGTGTCCTGTTATTTTATTTATTTATTTATTTATTCAGGTATTTCTACCCCACCCTACCCCGCAAGCGGGCTCAGGGCGGCTTACAAAGGCATAAGCCCATACATAAAATTCCATAAAATCCAATAAAATTCACAAAATCACAACCGACATACTATCAATAATAATAAAGTGCTTTAGACTGTTAGGGTTGTCAAGTTGTCCCCCCCCCCGGCCACTGGAAGGGGATGGGGGGGTAGGGTTGCCAGATCCAAGTTGGGACTCCTGGAGATTTCGGGAAGGAGCTTGGGGAGGACAGGGACCTCAGTAGGCTACAATGCCATAGAGCCCACCCTCCAAAGCAGCCATTGTCTCCAGGGGGACTGAGCTCTGTAGTCTGGAGATGAGCTGTAATTCCGGGGGACCCCCAGGTCCCACCTGGAGGCTGGCATCCCTGTGTCCTATTCCAAATTTGTGTATAATTTGGGGGGGGGGCTTTCCCACTTGCCAAAACCCAATAGGGTCGTATCAAGATTTGATCCTGATGAATTAACTCACGTCCTACTGATGTCATTTTTTCCCCTTTGTATTTACGATTCTTTGCCTTTGCATTCTTACAGGACGAACTGCGCGACCTCACCGTCTGCTGCAGGATTAGAGATATGCTGGAGCCGCTCGTTCTGTCTATTTCCGGTCAAGTAAAGGGGCTGCACGTCACATATGCCATACCTTTGGATGGAAAAGAGAGGTAACAGACAGGCTTCGCTAGAGGTTGAGGGAATTCAGGCTGAGCTAAAACATACCGCCTTGTTTTGTGTTCATTTTCCGGTAAGCGTTTTTAAAAAATTCCCTTTTCTCAACAATTTTGGGCAACAGCGATAACTCGGTGCCGATCTTCTCAGAGCTGTTTTCTCTCTTCTTTGCCCTCACTGCCTGTGGTGTCCTCGCTTATAAGGGAAATGGGTTTTACCTTTAAACACTCTCTGAGTACATAAACTTGGTAGTTTTATGCTGCCACCAGGAATTAAAAATTCCAAATCTCCCTCGTTTGGTAGTATGACCTAGGGTCTGGGCACTTCAGAGGACTACGTGGCCCTGAGGAAGTACTGTACTGATTTCTGGAATAAGTTTAAACAAAAATGATTTATTTAATAAGGAACAAAATAGGTTTCTGGTTATTTTGAACAGTTGCTGAAGAAAGGAACTTGTAAATATAACTGGCAAAGCTTGGTGCCACAAACAGTCTCTCAAAATCCAAACTCCACTCTGACAGGCTTATACACTTTTTAAAAATATATAGCCACACAGGCTAGTCTCTTTGTTTTATTCACACTGAATAGAATCAACTCTATATGTTGTCGAAGGCAACCCGGAAAATCTACAGCAACTCAAGAATCAACTCTCAGTCACACAGACTAAACTGTTGGTTTTATTCACACAGAATTAGACTCAGAATTCCATAGTCACACAGACTATGTTCTCTTGCCAAGCTTCACCCACAGAATCCTTTATGAGTCACACAGACCTTCTTCAGAACTCTTCCATACTTGTCTCTGTCATATCACAGAATCTCTTCATAGACACACACACACACAGAATCCTCTCATCAGACACCCCTCCTCCCACACTCTCAGTCAGCAGCCAATCAAATCACACTTGCCACCCTCTATCACTCTTCCCATACTACTGCATTCAAAGTAAACGTTTAAAGGAACTCACACACCAAAACATGGAATCATTACACTGCCCTTTATTTTTGTTGGCTCAAGCAACCTGTTATCCGCCTTTCTGCCTTCCTCAGGGCCACCAAAGCTGCTAACAAACTAAATCAGAAGAAACAAAGATAAGGACCAACTGTGAAACAATAACTAAGCAATGTAAACAGCTGTTCTTGAAAAAGAGCAGTTTCTGTCAGTTCTCTCAGCCCCACCTACCTCACAGGGTGCCTGTTGTGGGGAGGGGAAGGGAAAGGAGTTTGTAAGATGCTCTGAGACTCCCTTGGGTAGTGAAGGGCAGGGTATGAATCCAATCTCTTCTTCTTCTCTTCTAATCTGGGAGAACCAAGTTTGATTCCCCACTTCTCCACTTGCACCTGCTGGATGACCTTGGGCAAGCCGTAGCTCTGATAAAAGCTGTTCTTGAAAAAGAGCAGTTTCTCTCAGAGCTCTCTCAGCCCCACCTACCTCACGGGGTGTCTGTTGTGGGGAGGGGAAAGGAGTTTGTAAGCCGCTCTGAGACTCCCTTGGGTAGTGAAGGGCGGGGTATAAATCCAATCTCTTCTTCTTCTTCTCTTCTAATCTGGGAGAACCGAGTTTGATTCCCCACTCCTCCACTTGCACCTGCTGAATGACCTTGGGCAAGCCATAGTTCTGATAAGAGCTGTTCTTGAAAAAGAGCAGTTTCTGTCAGAGCTCTCTCAGCCCCACCTACCTCACAGGATGTCTGTTGTGGGGAGGGGAAGGGAAAAGAGTTCGTAAGCCGCTCTGAGATTCCCTTGGGTAGTGAAGGGTGGGGTATAAATCCAATCTCCTCCTCCTATATATTTTGTATATTTTGATCTGGTTAATCAATGAAATTAAAAAAAGAAGAAAATTAAAGTTCACTGATATTTAAAGTACTCAGTGCCACCTGTTAGTCCATCAATAATACGTAAGCTTCCAATGGAGACTTTTCCAATTATTCCAGCTTCAAACGTAGAGATGTGATAAATGGCAAATTGTTTACTTTGCAGGACGATATGCGAAGTCAGGGACACTCCCGTCCCGTTGTTATTGACAAACTAAATCACACGTACTAAAATTGCACCTGAAGAATCACTAAAAGCAACAAATAGCTCACGTCCTTTAAAAAAAATAAAACCAGAATTAAAATAAACACGAAAACATAAAACAAAACCCTCAGGCAGGACGGCGGGATCACTGAGGGAAAGCCAAATGAAACAGAAAGGCTCTTTCTCTGCTGGCGGAAGACGGCAGCAGAAGGGGACAGGCGGGTCTCCCTGGGGAGGGAGTTCCAGAGATCCAGTGCCACTACCGAGAGGGCCCCGTCCCGGGTTGCATTGGCTGGAATACAACGAAGCACCATACTTACTTTTTCTCCACACCTGTTAGAGAAAACCAGGCCCGTTGCCAGGATTTTCTTAATTCGGGGGGCCTTTAAATAAGTCGGGGGGCACCTGTCGCACAGAGCGTTTAGTTGTGTACAGCCTGTGACCTGATGCCCAGTTATGCCAGCTGAGTGCTAGCAATAGCATGCCACACAGACACAGTCCAGTGCTTAACTGTTTACAACTTATTTACAAGTATATATATTCTAGGAGCTGCGGTGGCTGAAGTGGTTAAGACGCTGAACTGCAGGCTGTGGAAGGTCAGTAGTTCAGCAGTTTGAGACCCGGGTGCCGCATGACGGAGTGAGCTCCCGTCTCTAGTCCCAGCTCCTGCCAACCTAGCAGTTCGAAAGCAAGAAATTGCAAGTAGATAAATAGGTACCACTTCAGTGGGAGGGTAACAGCGTTCCGTGCGCCTTGGTGTTTAGCCATGCCAGCCACATGACCACGGAAACGTCTTTGGACAGCGCTGGTTCTTCGGCTTTGAAACAGAGATGAGCACCGCAACCCTAGAGTCGGACTCAACTGGCTTTCGAGCAAGGGAACCTTTACCTTTACCTATATATATTCTGGCACTCACTGACAAAGTGCTCCGCAATACAAGTCACAGAGGAGAAAGGGAAAGGCAGACAGACACTTTACACTTATGTACCAGTTACAGCCAATTAGCACACACGACTGAGTCACAGTTACTGAGCTGTTCAGCTCCTGCTAGAACCGGTCTGTTCTGGCCTCTGTGGCTGTCATAGCTGTCAAATAGATGGGTGAGATCACCAGGTCTGATGTCTTACCTAGGCATATATGCCAACAGCACCCCGCACAGATACCCCCACCCCCAATGGAGCACCACAAATAAAATAAAAACTTGGAAATCGGGGGGGGGGGCTGGGCTGAATGGGAAATCGGGGGGGCCTGGGCAGAAAGTCAGGGGGGGGGGCCCCGAGATGCCCCACTGTAGCTATGGGCCTGGGGAGAACCATCCCGTCTCTGGCCATGAGACTATTCCCACCAACTTGCCGTTGTTCGCCTGCAGTGACCGGGAGCAGCCGTCAGAGTCCTCTCCGGAACTCCTGCTGGACTTTGGGTCAGAGGTGCCCCTGAAGAGCGTGGTGAAACGCCAGCTCATAATCGCCAGCCACTCTGCGATAGACACATCGTTCACCATCGAGGCTGGCTATTTCAGCTGTGGTCCGCCTCCCCCAGAGGAACCGGAACTTGATGTGTAAGTGCCGGGCTGGATCCCGCGGGAAAGTTTCCCCTAACGGAAGAGGGGAGGGGCTTTTGCTGGTTCCACCCTTCCTTCAACAGACCTCTGACTCCCTCCTCTGGGCTGTTTCCGGAGGCCCCCCCATCCCTGAAGAGCCGTGGTTGAGAGACCACTCCGGGCCGTCGTAGGAGCAGGGAGCCAAGGAAGTCCCATTCTGCCGACTGAAATCCTATTGAACAGCAGAGATTTATCGCAGAATCCAGGCTTTTGTTTGTCTTCCACAGAGCTTCGATCAGAGGAGGGAAGACTCATTCTCAATAGCGTATTAGGAGACTCAAGCTTAGTGGAATATTACTGGATATAACACAAGAATTGTGCCTAGTTTCAGAGGGGATCAATGCTCCCTCTAAGCCAGTGATGGCGAACCTTTTAGAGACCGAGTGTCCAAACCGCAACCCAAAACCCACTTATTTATCGCAACGTGCCAAAACTGCAATTTAACCTGAATACCGAGGTTTTACTTTAGAAAAAACAACTCATATTTTAACTTAAGATGATCCAAACAAAGTAAGAAAAGCAATCCCAAATGCTTTCATTGACTTAAAGTTATTTGGCAGAGAATTCGACACTTTAATGATGGGCTCTGAGTGCCACCTCTGGCACCCGTGCCATAGGTTCGCCACCACTGGTCTAAGCTGTGGAGCCTTGTGAGCAAAAATCCTACTTTCTGAGCTGCTGGCATCAAAGTTGTGAGCGAGCCATTTGGCTACTGCCTAAATTAGTTTGCTCTGGAGCCCTGCTTCCTGAGTGAAGACAAAAATGTGTGAGCCGGAGGCTAGAAAACTGTGAGCTGGGTCACACTGACTCAGCTTAGAGGGAACACTGGAAGGGAGCCATGTCGGTCTTCAGCAGAAGAGCTAGGGTCCAGTGGACACCAGCAAGTTTTGGGGGGAGAACCGGGTTTGATTCCCCACTCCTCCACATGCAGCTTCTGGTGTGACCTTGGGTCAGTCACAAGTCCTCTGAAGAGCAGTCCTCTCAAGAGCTCTCTCAGCCCCACCTACCTCACAGGGTGTCCGTTGTGGGGAGGGGAAGGGGAAAGGAGTTCGTAAGCCGCTCTGAGCGAAGGACGGGGTATAAATCCAATCTCTTCTTATACCCTGAAAATTCCAGTGGTCTCTAAGGCGCTGTTAAGAACATAAGAGATACCAATGTTGGATCAGGCCAAAGGCCCATCCAGTCCAACACTCTGTGTCACACAGTGGCCAGAAATACCAGTGTCATCAGGAGGTCCAGCAGTGGGGCCAGGACATTAGAAGCCCTCCCACTGTTGACCCCCCCTTGTAGCTGCCACCACTTCCTGTGGCAGTGAGTTCCATGTGTTAATCACTCTTTGGGTGAAGAAGTACTTCCTTTTATCCGTTCTAACCCGACCGCTCAGCAATTTCATGGAGTGCCCACGGGTTCTTGTATTGTGAGAAAGGGAGAAAAGTACCTCTTTCTCTACCTGCTCTTTCCCATGCATAATCTTATAAACCTCGATCATGTCACCCCTCAGTCGTCTTTTCTCCAAGCTAAAGAGCCCTAAGTGCTTTAACCTTTCCTCATAGGGAAAGTGTTCCAACCCTTTTATCATTTGAGTTGCCCTTTTCTGCACTTTTTCCAAAGCTATAATATCCTTTTTAAGGTGTGGTGCCCAGAACTGCACACAGTATTCCAAATGAGGTCTCACCATTGATTTATATAGGGGCATTATGATATTGGCTGATCTGTTTACAATACCCTTCCTAATAATCCCCAGCATAGCATTGGCCTTCTTTATTGCAGTCACACACTGTCTCGACATTTTCAGTGAGTTATCTACTACGACTCCAAGATCTCTCTCTTGATCAGTCTCTGCCAGTTCAGACCCCATCAATGTGTATTTATAGTTAGGATTTTTGGCTCCAATGTGCATCACCTTGCACTTGGCCACATTGAACCCCATTGGCCATGTTGACGCCCACTCGCCCATCCTTGACAGATCCCTTTGGAGTGCCTTACAATCCTCACTGGTTTTCACCACCCTGAACAACTTCGTTGGACACCATTCAAGGATCGTACCTGTTTCAAAACAGGAATTTTAATAATAATGCAGCCCCAGGATCCCCCTCCCCAATCACACGCTTTTCCTACATTGTAAAATACTGTATGGCTTCTGCAACTGAGCCTCCCGGAGTTGTAGAACTCTGTGGCTGTCTCAGAGCGCCGCCGGTTCTCCCAGACCCGTGCTCGGCACCTGCAGAAATCCACGTGTCCCTCAAGAGCCTCATTTGGGCGTTTCCTTTTCCCTCCCCCCCCTGCAGTGTGGACCTGGTCATGGAAAAGACGAGGCGAATAACAAGGCAGACTGCAAAGAGAAGGCAATCTGGTAGGCAGCCTCCGGAATGTTTACGTGGGGGGAAATGCAGCTGCGCATGATCCACCAAGAAGGTTTCTTGGGTTATGGGGCGGGGGGGGGGAGGAGGCTGTGGTTCAGTTTGGCATAGTGGTTTGATGTAATGGCTAAGTGCGCGGACTCTAATCTGGGAGAACCAGGGTTTGATTCCCCACTCCTCCACCTGCACCTGCTGGATGACCTTGGGCAAGCTACAGTTCCGATAAGAGCTGTCCTTGAAAAAGAGCCGTTTCTGTCAGAGCTCTCTCAGCCCCACCCACCTCACAGGGTGTCTGTTGTGGGAAGGGGAAGGGAGAGGAGTTTGTTAGCTGCTCTGAGACGCCGAGTGAAGGCCGGGGTATAAATCCAATCTCCTCTTCTTCCGTGGAAGAGCCTCTGCTTGTCATGGAGAAGTTCTCAGGTTCAATCCCCGGCTTCTCCAGTTAAAAGGTCAGGTAGTAGGTGATGTGAAAGACCCCTGCCTGAGACCCTGGAGAGCTGCTGCCAGTCTGAGTAGACAATACTGACCTTTGATGGACCCAGCATCTGATTCAGTAGAAGGAATAATAGAATCATAGAGCTGGAAGGGATCTCCACGGTCATCTAGTCCAACCCCCTGCGCGATACAGGAAATTCTCAAATACAGGGAGGCCTCATGTGTGAGGGGAGGTGCCGTGGCTCAGTGGCAGAGCATCCGGTTGGCATGCAGAAGGTCCCAGGTTCAATCCCCGGCATCTCCAGTTAAAGGGACCAGGCAGGAGGTGATGGGGAAAAACTCTGCCTTGAGACCCTGGAGAGCTACTGCCAATCTGAGTAGACAAGACTGGCCCTGGTGGCCCAAGGACTCTGATTCAGTAGAAGGCAGCTTCATGTACGTTCATGCTTTCTAGTGTTCAGGGTGTCCTCCGGAGGAGCCCGTTGGCACAAATGGTGGCTGCCGTCAGGGCACCGCTGTCCTACCTTCTCTCTTGCTCTGATCTTTCAGCCTTCAGAGCTGCCATGCTGTCTCACAGGAAGGGGGTGGCGTTCCACGTGCACCCCTCCGCCGGAACCCTGGAGGGCTTCCAGGAACTCACTGTAGAAATCACGGCCTATAGCGATATGTGGGGAGAATACCGGGACGATCTCGTCTGTAAGGTAGGTTGGTGCGGCGTGTTCGGCTCCAGCCCGTGTAGTCCAGGATCGGGAGCTTTGACTCGGAAGGTGGGAGGAAGGGGATCTGCCGAGGACTGCATGGTTTGGTGTAGTGGTTAAGTGTGCGGACACTAATCTGGGAGAACTGGGTTTGACTCCCCACTCCTCCACTTGCACCTGCTGATGTGACCTTGGGTCAGTCACAAGCTCTGGCACAGCTGTCCTTGAAAAAGAGCAGTTTCGGTCAGAGCTCTCTCAGCCCCACCCACCTCACAGGGTGTCTGTTGTGGGGAGGGGAAGGGAAAGGAGTTTGTAAGCCGCTCTGAGACTCCAAGTGAAGGGCGGGGTATAAATCCAATCTCTTCTTCTTCTTCTTCTTGTACCAACGAAATGTGGAGCTCGATGTCCGGGTTAGCCACCGACAGGATGAGGTAGATGAAGAGGGGTTAGTCTGTCTGTAGCAGTGGAAAAGAGTCCGGTAGCACCTTAAAGTCTTTAAAAAAAAATGGTGGCAGGGTATGAGCTTTTGTGAGCAGTGACTTATGACCGCTCATACCCTACTGGACTCTGAAGAAGTGAGCTGTGACTCCCAGTTTTGTGTAGTGGTTAGGAGCGCGGACGCTAATCTAGGAGAACTGGGTCTGATTCACCACCCCTCCTCCACATGCAGCTGCTGGTGTGACCTTGGGTCAGTCACAAGTTCTCTCAGAGCTGTTCTCTCAAGGGCAGTCCTTGAAAGAGCTCTCTCAGCCCCACTTACCCCACACACCTCACGGCACTTGACACGCGTACTTCTCAGTCTGCTAGTTTGACACTGTCTTCACTACTATGAATTATGAAAGCCTCTTCTGAAGTGGTTCAAGTGGTTAAGACGCTGAACTGCAGGCTGCGGAAGGTCAGTAGTTCAGCAGTTCGAGACCCGGGTGCCACATGATGGAGTGAGCTCCCATCTCTAGTTCCAGCTCTTGCCAACCTAGCAGTTCGAAAGCAAGAAATTGCAAGTAGATAAATAGGTACCACTTCGGTGGGAAGGGAACAGCGCTCCGTGCGCCTTGGTGTTTAGTCATGCCGGCCACGTGACCACGGAAACGTCTTCGGACAGCGCTGGCTCTTCGGCTTGGAAACAGAGATGAGCACCGCAACCCTAGAGTCGGATTCGACTGGCTTTCGAGCAAGGGAACCTTTACCTTCTGAAGGTACGCCGGATTCTGCAGTGTGGTCACAGCGGCAGTTGCATCGGTTGCCCAGAGGCAAAGGTGGCCACCCATCATTTGAATAGCTGTCCGGAGGAAGGAGTTTTGACAGCCCGCCCCACTCCCGCGGCACCAGCCATCAGACCCGGGAGCCTCAACACTCGGTGTCAGTTCCACGAGGCAGCTGTGCAAAGTTATCCTCAAGATCTGATTTCTATTTTGCAGAAGGAAACAGCACTTGCACACCCTCTCGGCCATGAGGATTGCATGGCTAGACTAACGGCTCATCACAATGGCTTTCTTTGCACAGGTTGGAGATTTAGAGCCCAAGTCGATCCCGATGAAGATAGCCGTGAAAGGCTGCCCCATCTTTTTGCAGATGACGGGACCAAACCATCCACTGCAGACCCCCGTAGTCAGGTACAAGCCAGACGTTCTTGGGGATTCTGTGTGTATATATGTATGCGTCACTGAGTCACAACTGACTTATGGCAACCCCAGCAAGGGGCTCTCGAGGCAAGTGAGAAGCAGAGGTGGTTGGCTATTGCCTTTCCCTGCAGAGTCTTCCTTGGTGGTCTCCCATCTAAGATTTATGGAGACCACACAAGGGGCTTTCAAGGCAAGGGAGAAGCAGTTGTGGTTGGCCATTGCCTTCCTCTGCAGAGTCTTCCTTGGTGGTCTTCCATCAAAGATTTATGGCAACCCCAGCAAGGGGCTCTCAAGGCAAGGGAGAA